CACAGTACCTAACCACGACAAAAGACTACTTACGGAAAGTGTTTTCATTCAATTAGACTACAAACCACTTAACTTAAAAACCGACAAGCAAAATCTATCACTCGCCTACTCCCAAATCATCAACATTTTAAAAAAGTCTCGATCATAAACCTCTATTTAATCTTCTCACTTCCATTTATACTTTCTTTTACTTTTCTTTCATATATATATATATATATATATATATATATATATATATATATATATATTTTATTTATTTTTTTATTTTTATTTTTTTATATATATTTTTTTTATTTATTTATATATTTTTTTATTTTTTTATTTTTTTTTATTTTTTTTTTATATATTTTTTTATATATTTTTTTTTATTATATTTTTTTTTGTTATTTTATTTTTATTTATTTTTTTTTTTTTCTCATTCAATTAGACTACAAACCATATGTGTTGTGTACATATATGTATATATATATATATATATATATATATGTGTGTGTGTGTGTGTGTGTGTATATGTGTATGTATGTATGCGTTTATTTAGAACTTTTTTTTTGACACTGCTAACTAGAGTTTTTTGACACTGCCAGTGTTTCAACTGCCTCCCGCAGTGCCACATCCAATGGTATGTTTTGACTTTTATTGTGATTCTTTTCTTAACACACCTATCCTTCAACTATACACCTTACTATTATCTTCATGCAGCCTACCATTCCATTACCGCTTTCAAAAAACTAAATGTCAATTGTCATCTATATATAGTACAACCTGTTTTTTGTTTCTTTATCATCATAACCTTGTTTTTACATTTATTCTTACATTTTAAAGTATTCTTTTAAAATTATTGTTTTCTTATAGAGTTATTTATACTTAATAATCTATCCCAACAATATTACACTAATGTTACCCTATTAATCTTTCAATTTCTGCACTTCTTAACCTTTGGTCCCGTTATCTATTTATTTACAATTAAAGGTAACCTCCACTTGCTTGTTATCCACTGATATCTTATTATTATGTTATCTTATCCATATTTTAACTTTACTGTAACAATAGTTACTCAATTTTCAATCTATTTATTCGTTAACATTCATTTATTCGTTAACATTCATGTATTTATTTTCTTTTATCTATTTTCTTATCATGTATTTTTTTATTTTCTTTATCTTTTATTTCTGTATCTGACAACTTCTTCGTGATTTATATATACTTATATTTATTTTTTATTTTATTTTTATTTTTTCAACATGTTTGTATCTTTTGTAGCCCTGAAGACGACCTGCAAAGTGGGTCGAAACGTCGGCAAAAATTAAAATTATTTATATATTTTAATTTTTTTATTTATTTGACCGCACCCTCAACTAACTCCTTCTCATATAAAATTTTTAACTATTGAGATTCAAAATCTTCAGCTGTGTATTACTGAATTAACCTGACAGGAAACTGAAATAAACTGACAGGGCCCATCTTATAAGTCCTGAGTTCATTTTTTTTTTTTTTTTTTTTTTTTTGGCTAGAAACTGCTTTTCCTCTGATTAGGTCCATTTTGGAAAAAAAAATATTTCAAATATTTTAAAAAGTAATTGATGATTTTTAAATAATAATAATTGTGCCACGTGCTTTATTTGGACTGTTTTCATTATTTTTGCTCATTTTAATGACAAGTGCACTTAAATTTTCAACTTTCATGTGGTCAATTAAAAAAAAAATTGACTTTACTTGGGTTTTTTGTATAAGTTAGGCCTTTTTTTAAATTCTCTTACTATCCAGCTTTAATGAAAGGCCAAGTATGGCTAAATTGAGCCAAATGTCGATTATTAGTAAACAAATCGAATTAGTACATCCGCTTCGTTTTTACAAAGATTTTTTTCAAGAGTAATTTCCATATCCTTATCAAAATTAAATGGCCACTCTTGACATTAGCTATTCTATTCTGATTCTACAGAACTGTCTCAATTCCAAATTAAGGTAATGCCTCATCCCATTCTGATCCACAGTGGCACAACTTAGGCACAACTTTTTTGTGGCAAATAATTTATAAAGTTTTGCCTCATTGCCTGGTATTGTTATAATATTCTTATCCGGTATTACAAGTAAATTCAGAACACTGACTTAACGCTCTATTTCTTTTTGGTAGAGGTCTGTAGATTTTTTTTTGTTGGATATAATAACATTTTTCTTTGTTTCTAATAAATAGTGCGACAACATTATTAATTTTTCATATAATCGGTGCATATGAATAAACATTTTACAGTTAATGTGACTTCGGTTTGAAATTGGATGTTCGCCATGCATTTAAAGAAAAAAAAAAAGATGGATCTACAGTCTATTTTGGCTTCTTATCATTTTTTTAAAAAGAGGAATAAATATAAAAACATGTTTCCAAAGTTTAGCTCATGTAAAAATTCTTAAGATCAAGCTGTCGGTATTGACGTTTTGTTATCTTAAGTGGTTTCAACATTATCTTCGCTTAGCTGCTGATCGAAAGGCCTGCATATAAAATATTTAAAAAAAAAAAATGTGAGAAAGAATATTGTTTATTCATTCGCTCGGATTTCTTCCATAGTACTAAATATTACCAGGTAAATCTGTTAATAATACCTCATCCTATAGACCAATAAGCTTACTTCCGATACTCTCGAAAATCTTTGAAAAAATCTTTCTCAAACGTATCCTACCCATTCTCGAAACCCACAATATCCCCTCCCATCAGTTTGGTTTCCGTTCAAGACATTCCACTGTTCAACAAGGTCTCCGCGTTGTTGACCATATATCCTCTGCGCTTGAAAACAAGCAATATTACACTAGTGCCTTTCTGGACGTAGCGCAAGCTTTCGACCGGGTGTGGCATGATGGCTTGCTTTTCAAGCTCAAAACTCACTTACCCCAATCCTTGTATCTAGTCCTCAAATCCTACCTCTCAAATCGTTCCTTTCAAGTCCGCTGCGGCACTGAATTATCCAACTATTATCCAGTTGAGGCTGGTGTTCCACAAGGCAGTGTCTTGGGCCCAGTTCTCTACATCCTTTTCACAGCTGACATTCCAACCCATCCTAATACCCTTCTAGCAACATTTGCTGACGATACCGCCATCCTGTCTTTCCACCCAGACCCTGAAACAGCATCCCTAAACCTTCAAAGACACATCTCCCTAATAGAACAATGGTGCAACAATTGGCGCATCAAGATCAATGAATCCAAATGTCCACATATCCTTTTCAACTCAGTACTTCTTCCCACCTCAGACACAGTTCGGTATCTTGGATTCCTTTTAGACAAAAGACTAAGATGGAACCCACATACCAGACTTAAAAGACAAGAGCTTAACAGACGACTTGGCCAGTTATACAGACTACTTAACAGAAAATCTAACCTCTCAATTGAAAACAAACTATTAATATACAAGACCATACTGAAACCCATCTGGACCTACGGACTTGAACTGTGGGGACAAATAAATTATCGAACATCAAACGCATCCAATCCTTCCAGTCTAAAATCCTCCGTATAATAGTCAATGCTCCTTATTATGTTACAAACAAAACCTTACATCATGACCTTAACATCCCTAATGTCCTTGATGTTATTTCATCCCGATTTTCAAATTTTCATCAAAACCTAACCTATCATCCTAATCCATTAGCACAATCCTTATCCAGTTCCAGTCATCCCTACAATCCTCCTTGAAGGTTGAAGCGGCAGTGGCCTCGATATCTTTTGTAAAAACGTCATTGGAGTCCTGGCAATGGCCAGCTTCTCCACTCAAGTCATGAGCGTATGTGGCTTTAGTGCCCTCTCTCAGTCTCCACTGGATTCCCATCCTAGTGATGCGGCTGAGAGAAGCGCTGGGATCTCTTGGAGTCTTGCCTTGTCCTCCACACGTGGGGGAAAAGGCCCGACTCGGAGCTCCCTCGGCTGACTGTAAATATTGTGAATAAGTTTGAATGTGTTTTTATTTATTATTATTTTTTATTTTTTTTTATTATTATTTTTTTTTTTTTTTTAGTTTTTATCTAATGTTGTATCATGTTTGATTTATTCTGTTACTCCAAGTTTTATTTTATCTTATTTTCTTATAATCTTGTTGTTCTTTTATTGTATATATGGTATGATTGTACTTCATTCATCATAAATACTCAATGCCCTTAATTGAGGCAAAATGTATTTTGCAATATGTATGTAAGTACTAAATATTATATAGTTAGTCTTAAAATTAGTAAATCCACAATCTCAAAACGCATATTGGTCAGAAAAAAATATGTTTTTTTAAAAATAAATATCAAAATAAGCTTCTTGTAAAAAAATCTATGCTCAACAATTTTTTTCCTATCCTATCCTTAATCCAACTAATTTTCGAACATTTGCCTTGAAAAGCTGTAATATAGTAATTCATAGCTAAGTGCTTCAAATATTCCTCAACTTTGAATGCTGTTTACTCGAAACTGGTTAGCCAAATGATTAATAGAATACATTTAATGTAGAATTTTACTAGAAGTATTTTGGTTCCTATCCATTATTCACATCTGATCATTAATAATGGATTCAAAGTTAAATGAAGAAGCTGAAAAATAAAGCCAAATTTAGGGATGAGAAGGGTGGTTTTTCATCTTCACATAATAGGAGATGTTTCATCCATTAGGCAGATGAAAACTCTTTTGATGCTTACTCCTGGCCCTAAAATGAAAAATTCCTGAGAAGGGCAAAACTTTATAAATTATTTCCCACAAATGTCCTTTTTTGGTCTAAGGTCGTACGACTATCCAGACTTAGCAGATAAATCTTATTTCTTCAGTAATTTTAGTATTGAGTAATATTTGACACAAGGATTTTTTAAATATAACAGTTGTACTGTGCACAAAAATGTATTAAACCAATTACTGGATATTTAATCTTTTATTTTATCCTAGTAACAGTCCTGTTACAATTTGAATGTCCTTCAATCTTTAAAATTTTAAATATTCATTGATTAATTCAATCTGATCAATCAATTTTTACCCTGTTCACAGACTTATGGACTCCATGAGAAACATCCTATATCCATTTATTGGTTATCAAGCTGGGAAAATTATGTGAGAGGAAGAACAACTATCCCTCCTGGGCCAGTTTCTACATCTGGTTAGATTTCTTTCTTGGAATTTATTTGGATTGTTTTACTTAATTACTGATATAGCCATAATTAATGTGTCTAATAATTTTACCTAACCTTAACTTTGTGCAGGTAAAACTTGTGAAGTGAGTTTGGGGAGGTGGGAACTTTTGACTTCACTATACGGGGTATTGCAGCAGTCAACAGAATCTTCAGATTCAGATTCCAGGTGATGTTATTGTTTTACCATGTTAAATATTTTACAGGTATTTAGTTATACTAGCTGACCCAGGCGAGTACTCCGCAAAAACCTAATATTCGTATCTGATTTTAATACAATAAGGGCGCAGCACAAATTCCATTCAATACACAACGGTTTAATACATATATTTAGTAAGCCATAAGTTTATAAATATGATTTACAATCTGCCATGGTTTAACCATTGTGTTTTCTTAAACTTAATTTAATAACTTAACTTCATTTAATTTAAATATTAGCTTTTTCCTTTAATAGATTAGCATAAATTAACAAAAGCTTCTAAACATTGCTTTAAACATCTGATGATGGCAAAAGACAAGGCTCAAATTCTCATGGAGGAATAGTTAGTTCAATCAGAATGTCTGTTACTTTGTCATAAAAAAAAAAAAGAAGTGTAATTTTAAAATGATAAACTTCAATAATAAAGATCTAAAAGTAAAAGCTAATGTAATTGAAGCACATTGATAAACATTCCAAAAAGTGTTTATAGAAAGACACATTTATGTAAATATAAATAAAATTTATAATCTAATTGGTTAGAAAGAATAAATTGTTTTAAAATTATAAAATAATTACTAATTCATACATTATATACTAAACCCCTGATAGAAGGTTTAAATTCCAATATGCAACAGAATCTTTGCAGTACAACAAATACTAAATGTTCAGAATGCTGTATATTTAAAATGTTCAGAACTGTACCAAACCATCTATTTTGAGGATTTTTTTTACGTTTTGTAGGTAATTTAGTAAGCTTTCAAATACTCGCTCATTCTACATGGTATTCCCTTTCTATTGATTCCTTAATCGTCAAAATCCATTACTCCTGAGAGCCTGAAGAGGTATATATATATATATATATATATATATATATATATATATATATATATATATATATATTTCAGAAATAACATATAAGATTTAGAGATGGGCAGGTGAATCGAGAATCAAATCAAAGAATCGATTCCTCTGAAATAATCGTACTCTCAAGCAATTCAGATGAAACAATGATGATTCACCCGGAATCAGTTGATTCAATAGTTATTAAAAATAAAAGTACAAAAGAGCAAAACTACTCTATACATATATAAATAATCCAAACAGAGAGAAAAAAGAATAAATAAACAAAATTGAAATGTTAAATGAAATATTTACATAATAATAGGTAATACAAAATTAAATTACAAGAGAGAAATAAACTGTACACATATATAAATAAAATTATCAGAGAGAAAAAATAAGTAAATAAACAAAATAGTGATATAAAAAAGCATGGATTATAAATATTTGAAGTGTGAAATATTAAGTTAAATATTTACATAATAATAGATAATTAAATATAAAAGTACAAAAGAGAGAAAACTGTACACATATATTAATAAAACAAATAAAAGAGAAAAAAAATATATATTAACGTAAATAAGCGTATGTTATAAATGTATGAAGTGCGGAATGCTAGAGGAAAATTATATTCAGAAAGTGTACAATGCAATAAGGCTGGAAGTTATCCTAGAGTAAACCTAGTGGATCCTGACTGGATTGATATATATCTATTCAGTTGGAATTGGTGATTCACTGGTTTGGTTCTACGAAATCTTCTAGTCGTGTTCCATTGTTTGATGGGTTGTTATGTTTACTCTCAGAATCTACTCTTGCACTAGCATGATCTATTATTTCTCTCTATGTTGGTTTTATTTATATAATTGGTATATGTACTATATATATTGGTTATATAATTTGTATATGTCCAGTTTTTCTCTTGTATTTTATTTTTAATTGCCGATTGTTATATAATTATTTTATTTAATGTATGGCCATACTATCATGTATTATTTATTTTGTATTTATAATTTGTTCTACAGGACCATCAGTCTCAGGATAATAAAGTTATATTTCATTTAATTTACAATTAATATACACAGACCAAAATCTAATGTGTTAAATTAAAAAAAAAACTTTTTCTGTCCAATTTAAACTTCCTTTCTATTTATAAGATTTATGACTTTTTTTTGTATATATTTGGGAATGTTAATTTCAATAACTTAAAAAAACAATGTATTTGCCTGAATAACTATAAGGTTTGAGAATGTGTTACTGTTTTTTTTTTTTAATTAAAAGTTTCTTTTTTAATTTAAGGAAAAAAGAAGATGAAAAGAATCGAATTTCCCATCTCTAATAAGATGCTTAACACATTGATTATTAGGACCTTAGCTAATATGGTGCCCTGTGCGCTGTGATTTAAGCACGTACTGCGCACATGATTTCAATTTTTAAGGATCCTACTTACCCAAAGTCAAAAACATATAAAAATGTATAATGAATATATATTAAAAAGTATAAGAATAAATAAAATACTTATAAAAAATATATACAAAAAAAGTAATAAAAAAAAAAGTTCACACACCACTCATTTTGAGTAACCAGGAGGTAGTCAAGGTGTTGAAGAATTGTCAGTGTACTCAAGGAATGTTGTTTTCTACTTCTTTTTTTTTTTTTCTTTTTTTTTCCCAGCAAAATTACACCGCGGCCTCAGTTGGCCTATTGTGCGCTGGCCATATCCCCTTCAAAACCATTCAAGGCCAATGGCCTTTGCAAACCTAATTAGACCCATTGGGTCTATTGTTTCGCAACGCTTCGGATCTGGGATTCTGTCAATTCCAAAATGTAGGAACCGAGTCCTAGCCAGGATATCACAACCACAGATTATGTGGAAAGCGGTTTCATCTTCCAGCCCGCAGAATCTGCAGGTTGGTGTTTCTATTGTTCCCAGATTATGGAGATGTTTATTCAGTCGACAGTGTCCTGTATAGAGTCCCCTAACTGTTCTAAGATTCTTCCTGTCCATATTGAGGAGTGATTCACTTCTCTTCAGACAGGGCCCATCAAGAAACAGCTTTGAATGTGTCTGTTTCTTGATGTTTTTCCAATGTGCCCTAAACTTATGGCCAACGGTTGCTTTAATGCTCCTTCTGGCATAGCTAGGACTTATGCCACAAATCGGCTCTGGTGCCGTGGGGATGCTTCAGGAGCCTTTCCTAGCAAGATGGTCTGTCCTCTCATTGCCCAAAATTCCCGAGTGTCCGGGACCCATTCAACCCTTACCCTATTGGTTGTAGAGAGAATGTTTAGGTTAGCTTTACATTCGTCCACCAATTTGGATCGGGTTGCATAACCTTCAAGAGCATAGATAGCAGCTTGGCTGTCCGTAAATATTGATACAAGTCTGTCTTTAAGGCCCTCTCTAATAAGAGATTGGGCACAGATATTTATGGCTAGGACCTCAGCCTGAAAGACTGAGGTATGCCTACCTAAAGATAAGAATATTCCCTCCCTGGGTCTATCCATCCTCCAAATACCCGCCCCTGAGCCTAGTTCAGTCAGGGATAGCAGTTAACTCCATTGTATGGTGAATGTGAGTTAGTCTTACTAATCTTAGTACTATAGTGCCCTGCCCTATAGCTCTGTAGTTGTAAGTCAGAGTGCATAGACAGCACCTCGTCCGTTTCAATCCTGTCAAACAGGGACCCATGTCCCTGATGTGTCAGGGATTTAGCCTTAGTTCCCAATTTGGCGAATTTATAAGCAGTACTAAAAGCCTGCGCCTCAATTTCCAAGTGCAATGGTGCAAGGTTCAAAAGTACCTCCATTGCAGCAGTGGGAGTAGTACTCATGGCACCAGTTGTCATTAGACATGCCATTCTTTGTAGTTTCTCTAGTAAAAGTTTGGATTTACTAGCCGTGGCCCTGTGCCACCATACAATGGCAGCGTATAGTATCAGGGGTCTAATTGCAGTTTTATAAAGCCATAGTGCCATTTTTGGTTTAATGCCCCAGGATTTCCCTATGGCTCCCTTACAAGCCCACAGGCAGCGAGTTGCCTTTGTACTAATATTCTTAATATGACTAAGCCATTTTAGCTTACAATCAAGGGTGACCCCTAGATGTTTAACTTCACTACAGATGCCGACAGCAATGCCGTCTAGGGATGGTGCTCTAATCACAACATTCCTCCTGTTAGTGAAGATGCATATGTTGACCTTCTGGGGATTGATGCCAAGCCCATTGTCTGTACACCAAGACCCCAGCAGGCCCATCACTGTTTTAAGTAAATTGGATATAGTCTCAGGGAATTTGCCACCCACCAATACGGCAATGTCATCTGCATATCCCTGAGCATAGAATCCCTCGGAGTTCAGCCTTTGCAGCAGCGAGTCGGCAACTAGGCACCACAGAAGTGGGGATAATACACCCCTTGCAGGCACCCCATCTGGGGTTTTATCCATAGTTCCGTGTCCCCTAATTTAGATTTTAATAGTCTCTCATTCAGGAATGATTTGATCCATTCTGAGGCTAGTTCTCCTACTCCCTTCCTATCCAATGCTCTCATCATGATATTATAGGGAGTGCGATCAAAGGCACCTTCAATATCTACAAAGATGCCTGCCATAATTTCCTTTTGTGCTAAGCTTTTCTCGATCCTGGCAACAAGACAGTGCAACGCTGTCTCACAGGATTTGCCAGCTTGGTACGCGAATTGTCCACTATGCAGTGGCCTTTCGATTAATGTAGTGTCCCTAATATGTCTATCCACCATCTTCTCAAGCACCTTCATCAAGAATGAGGTCAGACATATGGGTCTATATGCTTTGGGATTGTCATACGACTCTTTCCCAGGCTTAGGTATGTAACAGACTCTTGCCATTCTCCAATTCTTGGGAATGTATGCAAGAGCCAAGCTTCCCCTATAAAGTTCAAGTAGGTAGGGTTTAATTACAGGTAGGCCTTTCTGTAGTAAGGCAGGGAATATCCCATCAATACCCGCCGATTTGAAAGGGGCAAAATTATTTATTGCCCATTCCATTAATTTAGGTCCAATGATCGCATTAGCCTCCATCCACTTCTGTCTAGCACCATGGTGGAGGTCAGTGGTAAGATTAGTCCTATTTCTGTCCAACAGTCCACAGTCAGGA